ATAGATTATAGGCTACACTATCAACTAGATTATAGACCAGACTATATTCCAGACAATAGTTTGGTCTACAGTCTAGTCTATGTGGCCTATAGTCTGGTCTATATAATAGACTATAATCAAGACAGTCAAAACTGTACATTAGACAGCACATTGGATAGAATATGTATATTTTATTAATTTTTTATTTGTACTCTTAAAGTATTTATTGTGCAATAAATATTACAACATCGCTTTAATAATCGCCTCTTAATCTACAGATTTTTTTTGATAACTACTCAAATTACACTTTATTTTAAACCAAAAAATAATAAATTATAAAAAAAAAAAAACTATAAAAATTTCTGTCAATGACATGTTGTAAAAGATGAAAAAAAAATATATCGTCATTAATTAATTGAAGCCTACAATAATTGCAACCCACTTGAGGTTTATTATTTTTCTTTCTTACCAAATTTGGTATTACAATTATTTGGTATTTCTTTCTTAAAATGATTTTATTAGTTTTATTTTTTCGAAAAAAAAATTAAAAATGAGGTTAAAATGTTTTTTGGTATAATTTGTTTTGTAAAAAAAACACATGTTTTTATATTTTCTTGTATTTTTTTGTGATAATTGCAATGCAGTTTTATACAAAAAAAAAGAAACATTATGAAATTATTTCTGCTGTTAACACTCACGCTTAAAAATAAAGTGTGTGTTTTTTTATATAAAATTTTTTTTATTAAATACATATTTTTAAAAAAAAAACTAGCAAATAAAATGGATGTTGCTGATATGTCAGTTTTAGTTTCACTTTCACTTAATTATTAGTTTTTATTACCCAGTTATCTTTTTAGCTTTTTTTCTTGGCAAAAATTAAAAATTATGATGGCCTTTAAAATGTTGGCAGTTTAATTAAAAAAACAGCACAAAATCGGCTCAGAAATTATGCTAAAATGTTTAATATGATGACATAATGCTAAAACATAATTAGCAATAAAAAATTTATTAAAAAAAACTAAAACAAAAAGTTTTTTTTAATTATTTTTAATTTAAAATTTAAACATTTTTGCTGGTTATAGGAAATGTATCACAATTTTTTTGTTTATTTTTTTAATTAAATTATAATTTTTGCTTTTTTTAATTACATATTTTTATTAAACAAACTCAAAACAAACTGTCATCATGTGTGTTTATGCATGTGTTTATATATTTTTATGTCAAATACCTTAAGCTGATCAAATTTAACAGTTATCTTTGGTTTTTTTATTATTAAACATAAAATCCACAAAAATATTTTTATGAATACCAACAATTTTGTACAAATTTTGTTTGTTTGACAAAACGAAAATATGTGTCAACGGTAGTTTTATTTAATTTTTTTGTCATTATTTTGGTTTAGGTAGACATACAGACAGATGGATGGATGGACGGACGGACGTTCAAATAACACACAAAAATATTTTTATTGAGCAAAAGAAACAAAAACTGGTTTGAGATTATTTCACAAGTTTGAGCAACCTAAACAGAAAAATTTTAAAATATTTATGCATATGGGGATGCAAAATACTTTTAATTTTCAAAATAGTTTTGAATACGCTAGACAAAACTGAAGACTAGACTTTACACTAGAATAAACTATACACTAGACTATAGGCAAGATTTAGCACTAAGCTATAGACTAGACCAACGGTTCCCAAAAGGGGGTCCTCGGACCCCTAGTGGTCCGTAGCAAAATCCTAGGGGGTCCGCGAAGACGAACGAAAAAAATCATAAATAAAAAATATTCTCTATATGTTAGAAAATATTAAAAATATCTCCAAATTTTTCATAAATACTAAAATACACAATTTTTATTCAATAATCCCAGATTTGTTGGTGACTTTTTGAATTTTATTGTTTCGGTCGTTTATCAGGATGATGCTAGGCCCTACAAATTTATTGTTTCACTTTTATAAAGTAAAATATTACGTGATTTGTAATTTTTATAGATGTATATGTATCGAAATAAATGTTTTTATATCAGACGGATAATGATTTGCCTTAGAATTAAATACTGATAGTGGTATCCAGGAATATGAAGTTAGGTCACATTTCATAATATTTTTTTAAATTGTAAGCAAAACTGTTAATCTAGTTAATTTTAAATATAAATATTCCATTCCGACGTGATACACAGATTTTAACTTCATTTTGTTGTCCAATATTATTAAATCAACATCAGAAAGTTCATAGCGTTTTGCGTAAATAGTCAAAACCACGCAGTAAAATAATTCGTAGGTATTTTAAAATTCAAATTTAAGATCCAAATTCACAGTACGTTCGCAAAGAGTTCAGGTCATATTTTATGTGGGTAACGCATTCCGCAACAACATCGAAGAAGTCTAACTTTCACGTATTTTCCTGAAAACTTAGCTTACATACTCAGCTCACTCCTATGCAATCGCAAACAAATTTAGAAACATGACTTTAAGCACATGTCGACAATACTTTATAAAGAGAAATGAACATGAAAGCTCTCATGATCATAAAATTAAACATCATGTTAGAAGTCATTCTATATTTAAAACCATGCAATTGAAAACATCTCCGAAATACTAAATATTCTCAATGTACGGGAATATTGTATAGGGTTTATGGACCAGGACTAAGAGAATTTTCTGATGAACAATTATTTATAACAATAAGATATCAAAATATGTATGGGGGTCCGTGAAATTAAATAAATTTCTCAAGGGGTCCGCGAAGTAAAAAACGGTGGGAACCGCTGGACTAGACTATAGACTAGACTATAGACTAGACTATAGACTAGACTATAGACTAGACTATAGACTAGACTATAGACTAGACTATAGACTAGACTATATACTAGACTATATACTAGACTATAGACTAGACTATAGACTAGACTATAGACTATAGACTAGACTATAGACTATAGACTAGACTAGACTAGACTATAGACTAGACTATATACTAGACTATATACTAGACTATAGACTAGACTATAGACTAGACTATAGACTAGACTATAGACTAGACTATAGACTAGACTATAGACTAGACTATAGACTAGACTATAGACTAGACTATAGACTAGACTATAGACTAGACTATAGACTAGACTATAGTCTAGACTATAGACTAGACTATAGACTAGACTATAGACTAGACTATAGACTAGACTATAGACTAGACTATAGACTAGACTATAGACTAGACTATAGACTAGACTATAGACTAGACTAGACTATAGACTAGATTATACACTATACTATAGAGTCTATTCTAGACTATAGACTACACTATAGACTAGACCATAGACTAGATTCTAATCTAGACTATAGACTATACTATATACTAGAGTATAGACTAGACTGTAGTTAGGCTATAGACTGGACTGTAGTCTGCCTATAGACTAGACTATAGCCAGGCTATAGACTAGACGATACTCAGCCTATAGACTAGATTATAGTCAGGCTTTAGACTAGAATATAGTGAGACTATAGAGTAGACTACAGTCAGACTATAGACTGGACTATAGTCAGACTATAGACTGGACTATAGTCAGACTATAGACTGGACTATAGTCAGACTATAGACTGGACTATAGTCAGACTATAGACTGGACTATAGTCAGACTATAGACTGGAATATAGAGTAGACTATAGACTAGACTATAGACTAGACTATAGACTAGACTATAAACTAGACTATAGACTACACTATAAACTAGACTATAGACTAGACTATAGACTAGACTATAGACTAGACTATAGACTAGACTATAAACTAGACTATAGACTAGACTATAGACTAGACTATAGACTAGACTATAGACTAGACTATAGACTAGACTATAGACTAGACTATAGACTAGACTATAGACTAGACTATAGACTAGACTATAGACTAGACTATAGACTAGACTACAGTCCGACTATAGTCAGACTATAGACTAGATTATGGATTAGACTATATACAAGACTATGGACTAGTCTAACGACTAGACTATAGACTAGACTTCTAGTCTGTAGTTTAATTTACAGTCTACTCTATTAAAATTAAAAAAATTTTAACAAAATTTGTTTATTCTATTAAACTCCAAAAAAAAATAGCTTTTTCTTTCAAAAACTATTAGAGCAAAACAAAATTCTATGTAATTATTGGCCGACTTTGAATTACATTTCATGTTAATATTTTTGGGTTAATTGGATAGTGATGATGTTTTTAATCTAAAAACAACATTCAATTTGTTGTAGTTTCTAAACAATTTATAAATTTTTATTTTGCTAGCAGGCAAATTTTAACTTTCATTCATATAAGCTTTCGATACCAGGGAAGCATGACAAAAAAAAATTATAATTGGTTAAGCTATCTATACAAAAGCATTTGTTTTATTAACAATAAACAATACATAATAAAAAAAATCATATACATAGTAATTGTGTGGCTATCTAGTCATACATTTGTGCACCAAAGTACATATGTATGTATGTACATTTTGTTTATAAAGTTTATAAAACAATATTCATTTATTTCCGTTTTATTTTCCTTTCAATACTTCACTAAAGTATTTTTATGATTCCCCCTCAATCATTATAAAAAATAATAATACAGAGACATTCTTTAAGGCAGGTTAGTTATTAACATTACTTTTAACTATTATCATTATTATTACTTTTATATAATTTTTTATATATTCACCTCTTTAGTTTTTTTTTGCTTTTTTATGTCTTTATGTAAATTTTGTTGTTTTTTTAATAATATTGTTACGGATTTCCTGCAGATTCTAGTTAGAGAAATTTCTAAATTACATTTATTTATAGTAGAAATGTTTTGTTAAATTATGAATTTAAAAAAAAAAATTGATTGATGTTTGTTTTGTATGTTTTGATTTGATTTCCGTTGGAGGATTTTTTTAAAAAACTATCAATTTTAAAACTCATTTCCGTTTTGAATATAATATATTTTTATATTTCTTTAATCAATATTTTTTCTGTTATTTCTTTTATTTACAGTAATTGGCTACCCACGTTAAAGAGGAATTTAATAATACTTATTTGAAAGTAAGCAGTAAAATTATAGTTTTTTTTATTTTTTAAGAATGAATAAACAAAAATTAAAAACATAAATAAAAGAAAAAGTATTTTAAGAACTTGTATTCTTTCTACACACTTAACGCGTTGGCGTAAATGACGTATAAAGAGGTCCTCACCTGATGCTCTTAAAATAACGAACAGAAACAGTAATCTGTAGAAAATTTGAGGCTTAAATAAAATTTTTTATCGAAATTTTGTCTATAGTCTAGTTTAAGGTCAAGTTTATAGTCTAGTCTTAGTCTATAGTCATGTCAACAGACTAGCCTATATTCTCGTCTTTGGTCTTGGCTATAGTTTAGTCCATAGTCCAGTCTATAGTCTAGTCTATAGTCTAGTCTATAGTCTAGTCTATAGTCTAGTCTATAGTCTAGTCTATAGTCTAGTCTATAGTCTAGTCTATAGTCTAGTCTATAGTCTAGTCTATAGTCTAGTCTATAGTCTAGTCTATAGTCTAGTCTATAGTCTAGTCTATAGTCTAGTCTATAGTCTAGTCTATAGTCTAGTCTATAGTCTAGTCTATAGTCTAGTCTATAGTCTAGTCTATAGTCTAGTCTATAGTCTAGTCTATAGTCTAGTCTATAGTCTAGTCTATAGTCTAGTCTATAGTCTAGTCTATAGTCTAGTCTATAGTCTAGTCTATAGTCTAGTCTATAGTCTAGTCTATAGTCTAGTCTATAGTCTAGTCTATAGTCTAGTCTATAGTCTAGTCTATAGTCTAGTCTATAGTCTAGTCTATAGTCTAGTCTATAGTCTAGTCTATAGTCTAGTCTATAGTCTAGTCTATAGTCTAGTCTATAGTCTAGTCTATAGTCTAGTCTATAGTCTAGTCTATAGTCTAGTCTATAGTCTAGTCTATAGTCTAGTCTATAGTCTAGTCTATAGTCTAGTCTATAGTCTAGTCCTATAGTCTAGTCTATAGTCTAGTCTATAGTCTAGTCTAGTCTAGTCTAGTCTAGTCTATAGTCTAGTCTATAGTCTAGTCTATAGTCTAGTCTATAGTCTAGTCTATAGTCTAGTCTATAGTCTAGTCTATAGTCTAGTCTATAGTCTAGTCTATAGTCTAGTCTATAGTCTAGTCTATAGTCTAGTCTATAGTTTAGTGTACAGTCTAGCCTATAGCCTAACCTATAGCCTAGTCTATAGTTCAGTCTCTAGTCTTGAGTAAATTCCTATCTAAAATATACAATCGATTCAATAATTTGTATAACAAAGTGGATCCACAATACAATTGAAATAGTGTTACATGTGTATCTCAGTTGTCTCATAACTTTTCAAATTCAATAAAAATAAAATGTTTCATAAACTTTTTTTATAAAAAAAATCATATTTTTTATAAATAATAACACTAATAAAACATTTGTATTGTGTGATTTGTTAAATACATTTTAATATGAATTAAATTGTTTCACACATTATTTGTTAAGACTTTTAAACATGATTTTAATAAAAAAAACACAAATCTATATGAAAAACTTATTTCATGATTTAAGACAAATTGTAAATTGTTTAACAACAATAATTCATTGATTTTTTACAATAGTAAAAAAAATTGTAAACAAAACAAAAGACTTAAGCAGCAAGCGCTAACATTGCTAAATCATTTGTATTAAACACACACACACATAAACACCTAACAAAAGACTTAAGCTAAAAACCTCTTAAACTTTGACAAGATTTGTTTGTTTATTTTTTTTTTTATTTAATATTCTTCATAATTTGCTTAATACATTTTTTTTGTGGGTAATTTGAGTTTGAAGCTTTTTTACGCAATTATTATTAAAATTCATTTTTCTATTAAGTTTGAAGTTTTGTTAAATGTTTTTGTTGTTGTTGTTGTATTATTAATAATTTTTCTAAAAGACCTGCATATAAGGTAACAACATTTGTTGTCTATATATTGTTAGTTAATAAATATAGTTGTTGTTGCTGTTGTTGTTGTTATGTCTAACCATAAATATGTTTATTGAATGTAAAGCCAACCCAAGCAGCCAAACAGCCAGTCAAGCCGGGTGGATGTTTATTTATATGTTTGTGTGTGTCTGTATAATAGAACGAACACCTGATCATTTTGTGTAATTTCTACGTGATTTGATTGGTATGTTAGCAAACAACAACAACAGCAACAAAAAATATATAAAATTACCTAGATAAATTGCATACCAAATAATAATATTTAGATAAAAGAAAAAAAAAAAACATAAATATAAATAGTAGTAGCAACTTGCAAGAAAAAAATTTATGATTTTAAATAAAATTGAGATTAATTTTTTTATTGTTATTGTTAATAAACCACAAAACCTGATAATTTGTAAAGAATTCAAAACATTTTTGTTATTATAACAAAAATTTATTGGAAAAAAATTTGAAAGTTTTTCTTTGAAATAAATAAAATTTTAATATTTTTATTTAAAATATTTTTGAAATAAATTTATTAAATTGTTGTGTTAACTTTCTTTACATAATTTTGTTTTATTGTTGTTGTTTATTTTTCTTTAAACTTTTCATACCATGATTAGTATGCAACTCTCACCATTGTACACTTACTCAGACCATATTTGTAGAATTTACTTTTATATAAATTTCAAGAAAAAGCAAAACAAAAAAAAAGAAAGAAAATAATTTTGCTAAGCAAAAAAACTGCAAAAAAATCAAATATCGACAACAACAACTTAACTAAAACATTAATGCAAACAACCTCTGAGTATTGGCGAAAAAAAGAAAAACACTAAAATGAAATAAATACAAAAAAAAACGCACAAAACAAATTTACCAAATTTGGTTTAAAATTGTTGTATTTACAGTTCCCAGTAAATAAGCAATAAACAGACGTCAATAAAACAAATCAATATTGAAAAAAACACACACACACATTTTTAACTGCAACAATGTTGACATATGGTCAACATTGCAACACGTGCGTTGCTCTTTTTTTTTTGTCATTTTATTTGCTGTGTTTTGCTTTCTGCTCAACAAACTCAACAACGTCTTGCTTTCTAGCTGTTACATTTTTAGTTGGATTTTGTTGTTGTTATTGTTGCTAATAAAACAATGTGGTTAATTTTGAGATTTCAAGAAACCGCTTTCTCGATTACCCTTTAAACTAAACTATATGGACCATAATCAAGACTAGATACTAGAAAAAGAAGACTAGACTAAAAAATAGCTATGGAATCGACTAGTCTATAGAACAGGCCATAGACTAGCCTACAGACCAGACTATAGACCAGACTACAGACTAGACTATAGACTAGACTGTAGACTAGACTATAGAATAGACTGTAGACTAGACTTTAGACTAGACTGTAGACTAGACTGTAGACTAGACTACACTATAGACTGTAGACTATAGACTAATCTATAGACTAGACTATAGACTAGACTATAGACTAGACTATAGACTAGACTATAGACTAGACTATAGACTAGACTATAGACTAGACTATAGACTAGACTATAGACTAGACTATAGGACTAGACTATAGACTAGACTATAGACTAGACTATAGACTAGACTATAGACTAGACTATAGACTAGACTATAGACTAGACTATAGACTAGACTATAGACTAGACTATAGACTAGACTATAGACTAGACTATAGACTAGACTATAGACTAGACTATAGACTAGACTATAGACTAGACTATAGACTAGACTATAGACTAGACTATAGACTAGACTATAGACTAGACTATAGACTAGACTATAGACTAGACTATAGACTAGACTATAGACTAGACTATAGACTAGACTATAGACTAGACTATAGACTAGACTATAGACTAGACTATAGACTAGACTATAGACTAGACTATAGACTAGACTATAGACTAGACTATAGACTAGACTATAGACTAGACGACTAGACTATAGACTAGACTATAGACTAGACTATAGACTAGACTATAGACTAGACTATAGACTAGACTATAGACTAGACTATAGACTAGACTATAGACTAGACTATAGACTAGACTATAGACTAGACTATAGACTAGACTATAGACTAGACTATAGACTAGACTATAGACTAGACTATAGACTAGACTATAGACTAGACTATAGACTAGACTATAGACTAGACTATAGACTAGACTATAGACTAGACTATAGACTAGACTATAGACTAGACTATAGACTAGACTATAGACTAGACTATAGACTAGACTATAGACTAGACTATAGACTAGACTAAGACTAGACTATAGACTAGACTATAGCCTAGACTATAGACTAGACTATAGACTAGACTATAGACTAGACTATAGACTAGACTATAGACTAGACTATAGACTAGACTATAGACTAGACTATAGACTAGACTATAGACTAGACTATAGACTAGACTATAGACTAGACTATAGACTAGACTATAGACTAGACTATAGACTAGACTATAGACTAGACTAGACTATAGACTAGACTAGACTATAGACTAGACTAGACTATAGACTAGACTAGACTATAGACTAGACTAGACTATAGACTAGACTAGACTATAGACTAGACTAGACTAGACTATAGACTAGACTATAGACTAGACTAGACTAGATTATAGACTAGACTAGACTAGACTAGACTAGACTATAGACTAGACTATAGACTAGACTAGACTAGACTATAAAAAAACTGTTACTAGAAAAAATTTGTCGTTACAGTAAAATTTTTTACAAAAATCGTCGTTTTGGTTTTAATTTTAAATTTTCTTAAAAAAATTTTTTAGCCACACTTTCCTCAACCAGTATTTCTGTTATTATTCTTTTTTTTTCATGCTTGTTGTTTTGGGTCTCTTCTCTTTGTTTTTGCCTTTTTATATTTTTTGTTAAAACATTATTAAAGTGTTTTCTATATGTTTGTCGACGACATGTAAGAGTGAATTTCGCGGGAATTCATCATTCAAGCGTGCTTAGGTGAATTTGACCACAAATGGAGTTATCAAACCAAATACGTCTCTTTCATATTGAAT